CAGTGACTTCTTCTGTCCGGCCTGGACGCCCCTGTCCGTCTATGGCTCCAGACTGCTAGCACGCTGGCCCTGGGCCGGGACGGCGACCCCTGGGCCGCCCTAGCTGATGTGGTAGACCTTGGTGGCATCGTAGTGGGCGAGTGCCATGTACTTTGCAGACCTAAGGGGCCACCAGCGGTCAGGGTGGTAGGTGGCCGGGTAGGCGTGGGGCTGCCGTCGGACGCAGCTGAAGAGCGCCAGGCTGCGGTCGGTGGCCACGGTGGGCAGGTAGAGCCGCAGCTTATCCAGGAGGTGCCCGGGCCAGAAGAAATTGGGGTGCGTGAGCTGCGGGCCGCTGGGGCGCTTGGCCTTTATCTTCCTGGCAAAGGAGAACACAGGGGAAGGGGTCATGGCAGACAGGACAGGGCCGGGGTTCCCTCCTTGCTCAGCTGCCACCTGGGACCGACATGGAGCTGCGGCGGTGTGCTACGCAGGTCTGTTTTTCTGTCTGCCTTACTAGGGAGGGCCCAGAGGTCTCGTGCTGTGAGCAAGTGACCGAGCGCAGGCTGGACCCCCAGTCCCCTGCCTAAAAAACGCAAACTCAAGGGACCAGCAGGTGGCGTAGTGGTTAAGGGCCGGACACTCCCACATGGCCGACCACAGTTTGAGTCCTGGACCTGGTAGCTTGCCTTCTCACTTTCCTTCTCTCATCTCTCTGGTCAAGTTAAAATGAATGAATGAATGAAATGAAATAAAATAATTCTTTCAAAAACAACTCACACTGGAAAAAAAAACCCCGATACACTTAAGGGACACAAAAATGAAGTGAGTCGCAGATGACAATGTCTGTGGCAATGTCTTTGTCGTGACTGATAGGCACGGTGTCTGTGCTGGGAAGACTACGTTGGACACAGTAAAGACGCACAGTGTTCGGGACCAGGAGATGGCATAACGGTTACGTCGCTGGACTCCCATGTAGTCGACCGCGGTTCGAGTCCTGGACCCGGTGGCTGAAACTCACACCAGGCGTGTGTGCGTGCGTGCCCAAGATCCCGAGAGGAGAATGGAGGAGAAGGGATTGCGGCGTGGCCATCTCCCCTGGGGGGTGATTTTTCACTTTCTCTCTCTCTCTGTCTCTCTCTGTCTCCCCACCAAGCACACGCACCCTATAATAAATATCTGTCTAAAATGTAAAGTGATTGAATGCAAATTTTA